CCCCCCCCCCCCCCACGTAATCTCAATGCATTACCTATATTTTTAAATCCATAAAGGAAGTAATGTAAATTCGTTTCGGTAACTCTCGCCGACACCATTGACCATTTACCGCTCGTCTCGGTTATTTACTATAGTTCCCGGGGGATAATCACGCATTATACAGTGTCGGTATTCTCTCTACCACCGGTTGGAAGAATGAAAAGAGAGACGAAGAGAGAGATGTGGCCATTCGGCTTAGCCTTTGGTGTGCGTTGGTGCGCCCGGCGGCGGCGCGAGTTATTCCTCGAAAAATTTTTCTCCGAAGCCTTTCAAGTGGCCGCCTTCATGCCTAGGACAGGCCTGTACACACACATGCACAACACACTGACCGATAAATCAAAGATTATACAACATTTTTCCAACGCCTAGTGGTATTTCAGGTTCTCATCGGCGCGGGGAGGGGATTGGACTCGTTTAGGAGCACGCCATCATCACTTTTTTCCACGCTTTTTATTTTTACTTTTTTTTTTCGAGTTATTTTTCCGAGGTTTTCGGCGATGGGGCGAGGGGGTTTGTGGAGTAGAGTTGGAATTGTCACGGGAGTTTTATTTCGAGACGCTCGGGAAAACATCGGGGAGGTCTGTTTATTTTTGATGGGGAAATGGAAAAGTCGAGGCGCGGGGAGAAGGATTTTTCGGTGGGATGTTTTCAATTCTGAAGACGACGGAAAATTTTTTATTGAAAATTTTTTGGTTGCCTTGTAAAGATTTTTTCATTTTCAAACTTTGACGGTTTTATTGGAAATTATAAAATGACAGTTTTCCGGATGTTGTCAATTTAAAAAAAATGTCGAACTTCCGATTTTTGTCAATTATTTTTTAATTTTCAAGGTTTGACAGTTTTTTTTCAGAATTATAAAGTGACAGTTTTTTTGATTCTGTCTATTCAAAAAATGCCAAAATTACGAATTTTCCACTTCTGTCAATCCGAACATTGAAAATCTATTTGAATTTATTTAACCCTAGACTGGTCACCATGCGAGGGAATTGCCGCAACACGTCGTTTTATTCACCTTGCCATCGACTGGTTGACCGGGAAAATTTGAGAAAAATTGAATTCGTCAATTGAAGTATCTGGAAAATTCTAGTATTTTTTTGGTTGCTTTGGGACGGTTTTTTATCATTTCCAAATTTTGAGTTTTTTTTTTGAAATGATAAAATGACAGTTTTCCGGAGCCTGTCAATTTTTGCAAAAAAATCCAAGAAATTTTGAATTTTTAATTCTGTTGGTTGCTTTGTGACGATTTTCTTCCATTTTCAAGCTTTGACAGTTTTTTTGAAAATGATAAAATGACAGTTTTCCATAACCTGTCAATTTTTACAAAAAATGGAAAAATTTTGAATTTTCCACGTCTGTTAATTTTGGTAAAATCCGAAAAATTTTAATTTTTAATTCTGGTGGTTGCTTTGTGACGATTTTCTTCGATTTTCAAGCTTTGACAGTTGTTTTTGAAAATTACAGAATGACAGTTTTCCGGATCCTGTAAATTTTTGCGAGAAAAATGCCAAAAATTTAGAATTTTCCGCGTCTGTCAATTTTTGTAAAATCAGAAATTAGAGAAAAATTGTCATTTTTGTTGATTTTTGGGGATTTTGTGTCTTTATTACTTCAATTTGTGTCAATTTTAACAACTAGTTGTGAATATTTTCCGACCAGCCAAAAAATAACCTCAAGTCGTCAATTCTAGACAATTTCTTCGAGTGTCAATTGACCACAAGTTTTTAATAACTGTCAGAATTGTGTTTGATAATTTCGAAGATTAATTTTTTTATTGTTGTGTGAAGAATTATTTATTTTTAATTTTTTTGGAGAATGACAATTTTTCCATTTTTTTTAAATATTTTTGACATCTTGATAAATGAACATGAAATTATCTTGTTAGCCAGTGATTTTAGGTGAAACCCTCGAGACATTTTTTGTTGGAAATCCGCTTATCTACGAGAAACATCTCTCGACTTTTTCCCCTAACGATAACCTCATCCATAATTCCCAAAATTGTCAGATTTCAGTTCCTCTGAGCCCCAGGGCCAACCCAAATTCTCATTAAAAAGTCTTCATCTTCAAAAAAGCTCCTATTTCCCAAACGATTTAGCCTACACTCCCCCTCTCACATGTCAAAAGAAAAAAAAATTAATTAAAATCGTGTCAACTAAGAATTTCACTAATTGAAAGCGAGAAAAATCAATCATTAGTCGAATTCTCTTTGGTTCATTATCAATATTTATAAGGTATTCAGGAGAAATTGAAATTTAATGAATTCCATTTCTTCTTTTCCACAAATGAATAGATCAGCGCGCGCGATAGCGCGCGCCTAGATCTTGTCCTATTTGCTAAAGGTGAAAGAAACGTGAAGTTGTTTTATATCGAAATATCTCGAAACTGCCTGACCGCTAATCCTTAATTCTGATTGGTCAATATGTGACACGAAGTTATTCACAAAAAAAAACGTGGCATTTTCAAATTCTTCAGTGGTAATTTTTTTTTCACGTTTTATATACATGTCTATATAATATATATATTTCACGTGTATATATATCATCGGTGAAATTAATAAATTCTGTCCTTTTATGGAGACCGATTATTTAAAAAAATTGAAGATAATTAATTGAAAATGAAAAATCCTTTAGATTCTTTTACTCTACTTCGCTATTAACTTCAATCATTAGTCGAATTCTCTTTGATTCATTATCAATATTTTCATCACGCTGTGACGAAAAGTGAACTTTTCGGCACGCTCCGCGTGCCTAAAAGTCCAATTTCCGCCACATTGTGATGAAAAATATTGTTCGTAACTCGTGAAAAAATGTTTTTTAGCTCGTGGGATTATATAATATTTAAATATACTATTTCATCATGCTG